TAGTCAGTAGTCTTCACCAATACCAAAACTCAAAGGTGTTGATAGTTTTTCTTCTTCTTTATTCATTGTCCAACTTTCAGATGCATAAGAAACAACGGAAAAGATGATGGCTTGGACCAAGGATATGTCCATCATTAAATGGACATCATTACTCCTTAACACATTTGTTCTCTTTAGCACTTTAAAGAGGTCCTTGTTGTTGTTTTGTACTATTGAATCAGAACCAACTCATAGCGGGACCAAGATAGCTCATCCTTCTCCTCTGGAGCAGCTGATGGATTTGAACCTCATGCCTTTGTGTTGGCAGGGCAGTGTCTTACCAGTCGGCCACAGAGCTCCTCAAGAGGCCCTAGGCAGATTTTCCCCAATGAAATACAACTTTTGATTTTTTTTTACTACTGTTTCTGTGGATGTTGATTATGGAGCCAACTAAAATGACAACTTCAGCCTTTTCTCCATTTATCATGTTGCCACTGTCTATTGGTCCAGTGGCGAGGATTTCATTTTCTTGATGTTGGGATGTAATCCATATTGAGGGTATGTTAAATATTTTTCCTGCTCCACCCATTATCAAATTCCAAAACTGCTTCCACATTTTTAGAGCTCTGTTAGAGCAGTATCCTGCTCTTGGCACCAAATTCTTTGTTTTCTAATGTTCCTATAAAGTGTCAAGTGCACGGTTTTGGTTTTGGGGTTTTTTTTTTGTTTTGTTTTTTAAAGTGCACGGTTTTAACAGATAGAAACTGTATTTTCTCACAGGCTGGAGGTCCAAGTTGAGGGTGCAAGCTCGAGGGGAAGGCTTTCTCAGCTCAGAAGGGAAGCTCTTTTGTCTTCTGAGATTCTGTTCCTGGTCTGTCTTTGCATGCTTGGCATCTCCCTATTTCCCTGTCCCTTTTTGCTAGTGTTTAGTTTCTTTTATATCACAATTCACCCAACATGAATCTTATCTCATTAATATTAACAAAGACCAACCATTCCCAAATGGGGTAGAAGTTAGGGTTTAAAACACGTAATTTTCAGGGAGCTCTGGTGGCCTAGTGACAAGAAGCTGCACTATAATCCCAGAGGTATGTGTTTCAAATCCACCAGATGCTCTGCTGGAGAAGGAGGGACAATCTCTGACAAATCTCCTCCTGTACCAGTCAGATCCGATTTGACTATACACACACACCCCCCCCCAAAAAAACACCTAAAAAAATTAAAAAAAAACCAAAAAAACAATATAACATGATCCTTCCGATCTCAACTCTTATGCCACTTCCTCAAGCTCGTAACCTAAGCTATTCTTCCCAGCCCTGCTCACAGTTGCTGGTTTACATGTGGGTGCTCCCTAGACTGAGAGCTCCACACAGCAGGGGCTGTCTTTCATTGCCCCCCACTGTACCACCCCATCCTCCACAGCCGTCTTCAGTGCCTTGCATATGTTAGACACTCCCATTTAATATTTATTGAATGAATAATGTCATTTATTTATAACCTGCCTTGACCTAATTAAGCTAATCGCCACCAGTCCTCTGGGTCACCATTTCTCTTGGAAGGATGTCATCTGTCTGTCAGGAGCTTGTCTTTCTCTAATCTATTTTCTGTGTTACAGTCATAATCATCCTTTTAACAGGCAAATCCAACTACTTGTAACTCTTTACTATTTGCAGTAATTTTCTAATTTCTTAATATATTGACTGCTTCTTGTCTGCCTAATGACTACTGCATTCTTGTTCTTCAGTGGCAGAACAGAGATTTTTACTAAGACAAGAGTGTGCCTCTCATCTCCCAGACGCCATTGTGTTCCCCAGAGGTTCAACTAACAGTCTAGAAATCAGATATGCTGGTAATTCTGGGACCTGAAGTGATTACTGTCCTTACAAAATCAGAATTTCCTTTGCTTTAGCCAATGCTGTGTCCCTAAGTCTGTAAAATGTCAGTAAGTGAAATATGTGTTAGAAGTTCTGGTTAGAATATCCCAAAAGTGGGAAGAAAGCCTACATCTGCTCTCTTCTGTTGCTCAAGGCCATGATGGCCAGGGCCCCAAAAATCATCCTGGGCACGAGATAGTCGTAAGAATAGCAGCTTTGTGTGCTCGGTGACTGAGCAAAATAAGCCAAAAAGGAGCCTGTCTGCCCAATTACTACAAAGCTCCTTACACCTCTGCACTGCTTGTCTGTGGACTTAGATAGGAAAACACGTAATTTATATTTGAAGTCAATGATATTTCCAACTCTTTTAATGAGCAGTCAAATCCAAATCTGATACATGCTTCAAAGCATTCCATGACCTACCTTTGTCAACCTTACCTCTCCCTGAATCTTTTATCAACTCACTGCTGTCAAGTTTCAAGATTCCGATTCATACTGACCCTGTAAAACAGAACTGCTCTATTGAATTTCCTAAGCTGTACAGCTTGTTTTTGTGATTGCCTTCGAGTCGAGCACAACTCATAGTGACCCTATGAATAAAAGGCCTGACGTCCCTCTATAACGATCAAAGTTTATCAAAGTTCATAGAGTCTGTGGAGGCAAGTTGTTTAGGAAGTGGAGGCCACTCCTGCTTCCAAACTTGTCATAGTATGTTATTGTTGTTATGTGCCTTTGAGTCACCTGCAATGTATAGCGACCCATATACAGCAGCTCTGAACCCTTCCCTGTCCTGAGCCAGTCTCACTAATTCACACACGCCAACCCCCTTGCCGCAATTACTTTATCAAACTATCTCATCCAGGGTCTTCCTCTCTTCTACTATCTGTTAACCCTTCTGAGCATGATGTCCTTCTCCAAGGACCGATCTCTCCTGGCCATATGCTTCAAAATCCTAGTCTCCAAGGAGAGACTTGGTTTCACCCTAAGACAGACCGATTTGTTTTCTTGGCAGTCCATGGTATGTTCAAGACTCTTCTTCAGCACAACTCGAAGGCATCTACTTCTGTCATCCTTAGTCATTGTCCAACCCTCTGAAGCATAACAAATAATTGAGAAGACCATGGCCTGGATGAGGCACACCTTTGTATCTAAACTGACATCGTTGCATTTCGGCACTCTGGAGAGGTCCATGACAGATTTCCCCAACGTAATTCGTCTTTTGATTTCCTGACAGCTGGTGTTAACAGCGTTGATGTGGATCTGACCAAGCTGTAATTATTAACAACCTCAATCTCTTCTCCATCTAATATGGTGCTGCCAATTGGCCCAGTGGTGGGAATCTTTGTCTTCTTGATGTTGAGCTTCAGTTCATATTGAAGACTACAGTCCTTGACCTTTTTCAGCAAGTGCTTCAGGTCTTCTTCAGTTTTAGCAGGCAAGGTTGTATCCTCTGCATATTTTTAATGAGTCTTCCTCCAATCTTGATGCCACACTCCTCCTCATAAAGCCCTGCTTCCTGAATGATGTTCTGCATACAGATTGAAAAGGTGTGGGGACAGGATGCATCCCTGACACACTCCTTTCTTGATTTTGAACCATGCAGTGTTTCCTTGCTCTGTTCTGAGGACTGCTTCTTGGTCAAAGTATAGGTTTCTTATAAGCACGATCAAGTGTTCTGAGATTCTCATTCTCCTCAAGGTTAGCCACAATTTATTGTGATCCACACAGTCAAATGCCTTTGTATAGTCTAATGAAACCCAGGTAGACATTCTTTTGGTACTCTCTGCTTTCTGCCAAGATCCATCTGACATTGGCAATAATGTCCCTAGTGCCATGACCCAGCCTGTAGTTCTGGTAGTTCTCTGTCAATGTACTGTTTACGTCTTTTCTGGATAATCTTCAGGATTTTATTAGTGTGTGAAATTAGTGATATTGTTCAATAATTTCCACACTCTGTCAGGTCACCTTTTTTTTGGAATGGGAATAAATAGGGATCTCTTTCAGTCAGTTGGCCAAGTAGTTGTCCTCAAGATTTCTTGGCACAACTTGTTAAGTACATGCGGGGCAGCATCTGTTTGCTGAAATACATCAATTGGTATTCCATCAATCCCTGGGGCTTTATTTTTTTTGCCAAGTCCTTCAGACTGTATAGCTTAGGAGGTAGAAACTGCCTCTCATTCTCTCAAGGAGTGGCTGATGGATTTGAACAACCAATCTACCACTTAGCAACCAAAAGCCTTCACCAGTCAGTCACCTACTCTCCTCAAATTCAACATGTGAATTAGTGAACATATGCCACTTCCTCATGCCAGGTTCTCTCCGTTTAGTCTTTGCACAAAACTATTCTTTCTGCTTTAGTTATGGCCCTTTAATATTTTAGTTTTTAAAAAAACCCCAGCTCTTCAATGATTACAGAAACCTGGTCAACAAGTCCCTACGGCCTGCTACCAGAGTAGTTCCTCATTGTGTTACAATTATACTCGAATTACCATATTTACTTTTTTTTCTCCTCCACAGTGAACTCCATGAAGGCAGGAATATAGCCTGTTATTTAAACTGTATTCTAAGTGCCTTGCAAACAATGGGCCCTCAATAAATATTTGTGTAAATGAGCAATGGTGTATGGTGTTGGTTGGAGACCTAAAAAGAGGGTCTCCCAGCTGCGAGGTGAATAATGAAGTGGAATGGCTGATGGAGTACTCGTTTATTACTTACACTCTGCCCTCTTCACAAAGAGGAGGCCAGGAGGCAGCATGGTAGGAGTACCACCTCTCTGGGTGCGCTAAGGAGTTCCCGTCCACTCAGACAAAGCTTTGGGGAGCCTACTAGCAGACTGAGGGATAGTTCTGGGGAGGAAGGAGTGCTAAGAAAAGCAGTGACATCTTGTCCTATTTCACCGTTCGCCTCTTGCTTCAAACCCTGCCTCAGAGACAGTAGGTAAAAGGGTTACTGCGGGAAAAGGTTAGCAGTAAAGCAGGAAGAATTAATTTCAAAAAAAAGGTACACCAATCCACCACCGCTGCCTCCCTTGGGTGCCTACTGCAAGAACACAGTTGAGTCTTCTCCCCGAGGGTTCTGGCTGGGCCGAGGGTCTCAGTGTGGAGAACGGCCAGCTCCACCTGTCAGTCTGTAGGCAGGGACCCGCTGCTAGCTGCAGGCCCCAGGCTCAGCCCCTCCATCAGCCCCATTGTCCTCCTCGTCAGACTGTGCCAAAGGTGTATCAGCGCCACCATCACTTGGATTCGGGCTGTGCAGGTTTGTGGAGGAGTCAGAGGACGAGGATGAGGTTCGAGACGTGGTTCTGTCAGACGTGGGCACCAGCAGGCTCAGCTCCTCTGGATGGTCATCCACCCCTGTCCAGAGAGATGACCAGGTCAGGGCCACAGACAGGGTTTCAAAGTGGAAAAGAATTCTGTTAAGAGCTTATCTGGCCAGTCTCATCTTGTAGCTGGAGAAACTGAGGCCCTTCAGAGAAGGGCAAGGACATGTCCAAAGTCACTGAGCCAGTCCAGCAAAGAGAATTATGACCTCAGTCTCCTGACTCCCAGGCTCCTTCTTTCTACTTTCCTACATGTCTGGGGCCCAAGGTCACACAATCCATCAAAAGAGTTCAAGTTTAAACTACAGCACTGGGTTGTTTAACGGTCAGCTATGAGTCGGTTCCAACTTCATGGCTTAGCAACAATTAGTTTTAAGAGTGAAAATCCTGCACAAGTAGGGGTTAGATAGGCCTAGAATTCTGGAGTGGGGAATCTGTCACCCAGTTCTCTTCAGGGTCCACTTCCCTAAAATCTTAGCAGGCAATTGTTTTGCTGATGGAGACACCCACTTTCAGCCTGCGTGTGCACTTCCCCACTCAACTCACCACCTCACTTCACAGTCCCCCCTACCCCCAACTAGGCACTAGCTAAGTGCCCAAGGCTCCCAGGGAGAGAGCCTACCAGCTGTCTGGGGGGTGGGAGGAGGATCTTCACAAGGCAAGAACACATCCGCTCCGTCTTGATCCCCAAGGTCAATAAATTCCACTTGTTCTAGCGTGTCCACGTTAACTTCCATGGATGAGATACTGCCGATAGGAGCTGCAGAGCAGGAAAAGGGCAAGTCATTGAACCCCAGGGCCACAGCCTGATTAAGAACTGCTCTGTCCCAAGAGAGAAGTTTAGAAAACACAGAAAGCGAGAGGGGAGGGGGTTCCCTAAGATTCAGGATATACAAGACTCTCTCCCTACTCCACCCAAGGCCACGTCCTTCCCTCTGCCCAGTACTTGGGACTTACGTCTCCGAGACTCAAGATGCAGGTGGGACAAGGGGAAGACAAACTCTGTCTCTGGCTGTAAAATGTCCTCGAAGAATTTCTGCCGCTCCCTGAGGCGGAGCTGCTGGCGTTCCAGCGCTGCCCGAGGATTAGGGTCCATGTCAGCTCCTGGAGGTGAGAGGTGCAGGGAAAACACCACTGTGAAGTCCACAGAGAATCCAGTGGGAGCCTGGGTGTGTGGACTCCCACCGCAGTCAGCATCCCAGGGGTATTTTCTCAAATCCTTTGGTTCCGGCTTGGGCATCTCTGGGCTTGGCCACCTCCTTGACCTGCCCCAGACTAAGCTCATCCCTGGAACTCCCAAGTGGCAGGCAGAGGCAGGGCTGGCCCTGTCTTCACAAAGGGGATGCCAGTTCCAGGCACGGCAGAAGAGGCTCCTCTGTATTCAGGGCACTCTGCCAAGAGTTGAGTCCTCGGCACCACCGCCTGAGCAGGGCTGGCCTAGCCCAAATGGGGAGGCAAAAATGGATTTCTAACCTCAGAGTCAGGGAAAAGAGAGAGAGAGATCTCAGGGTAGAGAGGCGTCTTCCTCTATCCTGCTTATCCTCAGGAGGACTATGGCTGTGGCAGCCTGTATGCCTCCTCCCTCTCCACACACCCCATCTCCTCCTCCCTCACCACACACCCCATCACCTTCGCCAGGCCCTTGCTCTGAGGTCACAAGACATGACACCCCGTCTTGGCTCTGCCCCTGGAGTACATCCCCTTTCTCGCTTCAGTCTCCCCATCTCAAAATGGTAAAATCACTCCACCTGCCCTCACACAAGGCACCTCAGACACAGCACCTGGGCGCAGATGCTCTGGAAAGTGAAGAGCCCTGATGCACCCAGTGGCCACTCCGAGAGACTCTTCTCCAACTCCCACGACTCTGCCTTGCCTCGGTTCTGTCTTCTCTCCCACGAGGCAGTGCGCAGCAATTGGAAGGGCGAGTCCCAGTTCCAATTCAGGGGAGACCTCTCGGCCCGTGTGCTTTCCCGAACACCAGCACTACAGCCAGCCCAGGCCCTAAGAACTCACCCCCAATTCCCTCAATCTCCTTTTTTGGCCTCAACTCTGAGCCTGTCAGCGGAGGCTGCAGGAGTTACTAACGCAAGGACGAGGCATCTTCCGCAGCTGCCCTGCCTGCCCCACATCTGGGTTCCACAGGCACTAGGGGCCAGCCGGGCAGGGCCAGGGAAGTGCGGGGAGCCCGTGTGGCTACCAGCGTGCAGGGCCACGGAGGAGAGAGGTGGTGACGCCGATTCCTGGGAAAAGCTCCGCGCGCTGCCGCCCAGGTCACCAAGCTAAAAATACCCAGGGCCCCTGGGGCGGTCTGTCCTCTCAGCGGCCAGGGGTGGGGGCCAGGGGAGCGGGACCAGGGCGCGGTAGGGGGGCTGAGGGTCCAGAGCGTCCGTTCTAACCCTTCTCCCCCTAGCTCCCGGGACTCACAAGATTCAAGGTGCTGCCTTGGGGGGCTGGAGAGCCGAGCGCCGGAGGAGGAAAGATTGTTTACGCTGGAAGGTGCTAAGGGGTGGCGGGAAGATCTGCGGGTGGGGGCTGCCTGGGCCGGGGCCAGCCGACCACCGACTGACCGGAGCCCTCCCTCGGTGTCCACCCCACCCAGGTCGGAGTAAACTCCAGCCGGAGGATTCTCTAAAAAGGGCCAGGGCGTCTGCGGGGCGGGAGTCCGGGCTGCTCTGCTCGGGGCCCCCGGCTCTTGCGCGCACCTGTGCCGCCGCCGCGCCCTACC